TACTGCAGCAAAGCTGACCATTTGAGCAACAGTGATGAAGATGTTTCATCCATTAACATTGAGAAGCTACTATACTGTAACTGTTTAAGATACATTAAATATAAGGTTAAGAAGCAACTTGTGAAAAATTATCAAGGAGTATAAGTGTCATAGCAAGTTCATTTTTAGTTTAGTTTTGTTTTGTTTTAACAGGAATGGGGCCATACTATTTAGAACTTCTTCCCAGCATCATGTCCATGCTATAGCCCCCCACCGCCTGAATGTCTTCATGTGCAAAACAAATGTATATACGGACATCTGTATAAATAAGCATTATTTTAAGGAATGCTTGAGGTGGTATGGAAGCGTCACATATACAGTAGTATCATTCCCATCACTGTGCAGATGATGTAGTCCTTCCTTTGACATCTGCCTAGTAATGCATGAAGAAGAGACATTTGCATATACATATAAAGGCTTCCATACAAGCAGGAACTCTACATTACCCTGATTTCTTGTTACTTGCAATATTCCTTTATGCATCTGTATTTGCTAAATTTCTATCTCTAGAAATATCATACTGCATATAGAGACATCATCTTTGTGACATCAGGGAGGTGCTCTCAGCATAATCCCAGCCTGCTTGAATATTGCTTTAGAATAATTTAGTAATGTCTGAATCATGCTTTGGAATGTTTGTTCAGTTTTACACCTGTGCTTGTAAAGGCATGCTAGGTATTCAGAGTAGTTCGCTACTGCTATTATTACAGTGGAAAACAACTAATTAATGTGACTGATGTGCTGTTTGAATCATAGCAGATATAGACAGACCTGTCATGAAAATAAAATTTTCAGAGATAAACCTTCTGTCACAACACTAATGCTTATGTGAGAATAAATTAGTTTGTGTTCGAAGCGCCACAAGCATCTTCGTTGTTTGACATTCTCTCTGAAGCTCTGGAATTAAGGGCTGAGTACAGTAATAAAAGATATGATACCTAGTTCCCAAAATAAAAGTCTTCTTCCCATGTTGGCTTCCATTTTGAGCAAGGCATCTGAATGTCTAACTCAGTGTTGTCCAAACTTGGCCACTTTAAGATGAGTGGACTTCAACTCCCAGAA